GTGTTACTCGCGAGAGCCGGGCTCTTTTTTTTCATTATATCACAATGTGGTCGAGGGTCTCTCATCTTCGCGCACCCGATATCTCGAGTCTCTCTATACGTTTTTTTTTTTTTTCAATTACGTACACATGTAGTTATTGTTGTCTCATCCCTGTATTGTCGATTCCTTACGCTGGTAAATTCTCGATTTTCCTCGTTGCATGAAGGCGATGTCGGTAGAGATAGAGAAATAAAGTTGGGCTTATACAATCTATATTATATGAAAAATTCGTCGTCGTACGAGATAATATGTATATTACCTTTCTGTATATATATCTATATATATATATTCACTTTTTCGTATGTATATATATGTATATGTATATAAATTAAAGATTCGTCACGCGGGACGCTGTAAAGCGACAATAAATAATACGACGTGCGCGCGCGGTCAGGATACTGAATTATTTATATGACATCAGTCTTGTGTGAGGCGGGATCGAAGCTCGCTACCGTTCGCTCTTTTCAATATCGTCACGTCGATCTCGTCGCGCGGCTTTTTTCCTCCGATGTCAGGCGCCGCTGACGTTCGCTCGAGAATGCGCGAATAATTGAAACGCTCGCTTATTCCATCAAGCCGGTAATTAATTATCTTTTCGAGCCGACGTAACGATCGCGCCATCGGATAAATATCTCATCCGACCCGGTCGTTTTTTTCTTCCCCTCTGATAGTTACCGCTGGTCTCACCTGAATCGATAGCGAGCTCGATCTTGTTGCACATGCGCGCCGAACAGACCGAATCATTAACGCGACTCTTCCTGCTAATTCGTTCGAATGTGTTCACGTGTGTATATATTCTTTGTAACGATTACGCATCGTTTATGTCTGTAGCATTCGGAAAGATTGACGGAAGGAAGTGGCATTCCGCAACGTTACACGTCTCGTTCGCGAAATTCCACTCCGAGTGGAAGAGGAGACTTGGCAGTGAAGTGCTGGAAAGAAAGATGCTGAGACTTGACTTTCAGTGTGAATGATTCGAAAAAAAATGTGGATAACTGAAAATATCGATACTGCGATTTTTCGATGATGTCGTCGACTTTCGAACGAATCTCGGGAAGAGTCATATGCGCGAGGTCGCTTTACCGTTAAACTGATATGCCAATTTAATTATTAAAATCGTAGGAAGTAGATCGCAAATCTCCCTAAAAGACCTCGAGGTCGCACAATATGTCCGAAAATTCGTCGATGGCAGTGCTCGTCAAGAAGAGTGTCTCTTTCGCGATGAATGCGACCGCGCCGCGATCGCGTCGTTTTTCTCGCGATGCATTATAAATTCGAGAAAAAAATATCGTCGTTGTAACAAGCAGGATTACGACCTCTTCCGCCGCGTGGTCGCTCATAGCGTTTACTCCGAAATGTACAACGTGTTACTTTTACCACCGGTCTTTACCCTCGAGAATTAACAACGCGCGTGTTCTCACGGTATCCTCGCGGCACTGGATCTATTCTACTTTGCTCCGTGTTTGCGTTCTTTCTCTCCGCGCGCTTAAAAATTGTGAAAAACGCAGATGGGGTAAAGCATGTGCAGCACGAATTTACAAAATTCGAGACTGTGAATATATAAATTAATTTTATACAAATTTCCTTTCTCACAAGAAAAGCGTATTGTAAACGGTAATGTAATTTTGTCAATAAGTCTTGATAAATTTTCACACATATACGAGTTAATTATTATTAAAAAGTAAAATATATTTTTAGTCAAAAATATTATTAGTCAATATGAATTTTAAACGCTCTAGTATATATGTGTGAAATATATTGAAAAAAAATTAATGAATTATATCCGTTGAGCTCGCAAGAGAAATATAACAGGAATCTTCGTTGGACCAGTGCCAGAGGATTCACTCGATCACGCGATATCGCTGCTCACAGTAACGAAGAATCCATCATACCTTCGGTTTTCATTCGTTTTCCATGAATATTCTGCATTCCTTACGCATATCTGTGCAAGGAGTGCTCCCGGCGCTTACTACCTCTGCGCTCACGCTCGCAAACTGGTTCCGGACTCGGTGGATTCGAGTACGTCAAATTGCTGGAGCCTCGAAGAGGTGGTGCACTCATAGGGGGCGGGGGCGGCGGAAAAAAGCTCTGCAAGCATGCCTAATGCATCGGAAAAGTACATGAAACGTTGATGCCTTCGTGTCCGACAAACGTTTCGTATAGTTCGAGATAAAATATTCTTGATCCAAAAATAACGAGGAAAATGACACAGTTGTCATACTCTCATTGTGTTTAATTAATTTTTTAATAATTACGTCGAGGATAATACAAACGTTATTGATATTTTTTACAAAAATTAAAAAAATGGTGTTATATGTCAAAAAAATATAAAGAAAAATTGTAACTTTAAATTGAAGAGATTTCTTATATCTCTGTGAGACAAATGTTTCTATATCTTACCTTTGCGCTACCCCTGGAGGAAGATTTCGAGAAAACGCTATCCTGATCACTGCTTACACTAGGCACAGGCATTGGTACTGCGTAATCGTAAGTGGCATCTGTACAGCAAAAGATATTTTCTTTTTATTGTCCCGCGTATAATATTATACGCCTTTTTATCTCATGCGACTTATTTACATGACGTATATATTTGCTGAATATGAGAATTGCGATTTATGCGAAATTTATGTTTGAAAACTATAACACCGCGTATGCAAAGGGTTATATTAAACTAAACGTAATGTAATACAATTAGACGATTGTTTGACTACTTCGCGTTTGTACTTTGAAGCATTACGGATACGTTGAACAAGTTCAGGGAGCTCGACTCACCAGACTGCTCGACATTGTCATGGAGATCCTTGTTGTCTACAATAACCGTGCTGTATCCGTAGTACGCCGTATGAGGAGATGCCCGATACTTCTCGTGGAAGGGTTCCTGGTACTCGTCGAGTCTGACATCGCCCAAAAGACGGTCATTGAGATCTCGCGGTAGGGTCGTGAGCTTCGTGCCGGCGTACCGGTCGTCGAGTTCCTCGACCCTATAGGTCATCAAGGACGGGTCCTTTTCCGTGGTACCGTACGCAGATTCCGGCGACAGATGCTGATGATTGCCCGACGGTATCGCGCTCTTGGCGCCCAGGGGGCTGGCAAAGTTCTTGCGCTGTCTGTGACGCGTGACTATCAGGAATATGGCAACCGCCAGCAGCAGGATTACGACGGTCAAGACGCCAATAATCACAGCCATGTAAGTGGGATCGTCCTGCTTAGCTACCGGAACTTCGGCTTGCAGCGGATTGTCGCGAGTGTGAGTTATAACCGGCAGTCGTGGGGCCACAGTCGTGGGTGGTGTTTCTGGGGTGAAGTTACCGTGAGCAATATCTGCAACACGATAGAAACACGTGTTCCTGAATGCGGCATGTTTTGGTGCTAACTTTGATAATATTCGAAAATTAATCGAAAATACAAAATAATAACAATAATACGTAATATAGGCAGTAATGCGATCTAAATTTTGCGGATTTGTATTTTTACGCAGATATGCAGATGCTATTAATTAATAACTATTTGAAATTAAATGTTAAGACATATTTATCTTATAAATTGCAATTGAAATTGCACAACAGAGTTTCTCGAAATTATTTTTTCTATATATTTCTGAATATTAATATTTATTAATTTTATTTTTGAAATGAATATATTCAAAATATTTAATATTATTCAATTTTTTATTGCGTATCAGAATATATCAATTAAGCAGATTCTTTATAACATATTAATTTTTATATTCTACAAAACGCTAACTATGCTGGAAAAAGTTTCGAATATTACGATCTTTCGAGAGAAATCATCTCCGCTTATGTGCGATTTGATAGGCGTGTCGTCACGATTTCGAACTTTCTATTCGCACTGCGAAGGCAAATCGAGGAAAATTGCTGAAGCCCATGCGTTGCCACTCACCGGAGTCAAAGGTGACTTCGCTGATCATAATCCATCGCGAGGCGAAGCTGAATCTTAGCTTGACGAACTTGCCGATCCGGTGGTGCAGTTTGATCGTGATATTCCTCGAGTATTCGAAGATTCTGTCCTCCATATAGGTATATACGATCGGATCACCCGTGTAATACTTGCCGCCGATGCTGAACATGATGCTGACTTCAGAAAATACCTGAATCATAAAAAAAGAGATACGATGTGTTCTCGAATGAATAATCTCCCGACAGGCATTTTACCACATCGTACGCCATTCTGGATTATTGAGCTTGATTACCGCAGACAATTCGACCTATCAGATAAAGCGCTATGTATTTAGAGTTACCATGCGGAATTAATTTGATCGGAAGCATACTACTGGTACTCGATTACGCTCGCGTAATCAGTATTATCGCCGTTATTACCATAGGTAACAGATAACTAGTTAACGGCGCGTCGGGATGTGACATCGACGGTTTTGATAATACGGAGTATATCTCACACGGACGCGTTCCGAGAACGAGCGAGGACGCGTGGAATGCTAATTTCATCCCTCGAAGGCGCAAGACAATTCAGCTAAGGGAATCCAAGTCGTGAGCCGTGTGAAGCGGACGGAGGATAGAGAGTGAGAGAGAGAGAATATGGAACTAAGACAGCATAGGAGTTAGGGACGATGATTACAAAGCCGAGATTATCTAACTCCCTTAGATCCAAAGACGGAAGCGTATGGATTTTCGACGTACTGAAGCCTACCGCCCGCGGATGCGCCGGGAGAATGAGGAAGTCGACGTAGAGGAAGTGGCAGCCGTGAAGCCGTGAAGCGAAAGACGGAGGGGAAGGGGCTGGCGATGCTTTGAGGCGCTGTCTTTCGTGGAAGACGTGTCCTATCCGCGCGAGCGCGCGCTTGTTAATAGGAGAGGTCGTTTAGGGGTAGCTCCTGCCACTCCGCAACCCCATTCGCCGAACTGCCGACTTGCCAGACTGTCGGTATTGTATTTGAATACGTGGCGTATCTGCTCTCTCGGCCCTCGGGTCTTCATCTCTTTCGATCCCTGTTCCGTGAATCTCTCCTCCCGTTCAGCTCTCTCTCCCTTTCACGAATCACTGTGGTTGCATCTTCAGCCTTGACTGCTACTCGTTGTCGGTCTGCCCCATGGTTCTCCAGTTGGCCCGATCGCGGGCACACAATCGGGCTCGAGCCGGGTAATGAGACGCTCTATTCAGATAAATCTTGAGACCGGTAGGAGAGTGTTTCGCGGCTCATTATACTGAGATTTCTGCGCGGTATAACGATGGAGCGCAAAATTTTCATGGCCAACTGTCACGCGTATTAAGTTTCGTAACTTTCTCGCGCACGGCGAATATTATGTGATTGTTGACATCATGCATATTAACTCCCTGCACGAGCTTCTACACAATGAGGAATATACGAAGAGTAATTTAATTGTACTGTTAAAATTTGCTATTTTCTTTTAATTATAAATCAAAATTATTATTTTTTTTTCGTGGAAAAGAATTATGTTGTTGATTTTCGGCCGTCACACACATAAGTCTATCTGCTTCGGGTTTTTTTTTAACTAAAAAACAAATATATTTCAATATATTTTTTTTTGTATTTGTATATTTAATCCGAATTTTCCTAGCTCGAATAAAATTTTTATACAACAAAGTCTCTGATTTATAATTAGACGATTTGAAACTAGACATTTTTTTATCGTATTATATTTATCACTTAATTAATTCCAATAATTTACTATCGATGAATGTAATCGAGTGGTATAATTTACTAAGTGGTTTAATTTACAAAGCTGACAAAACAATTTTCCGCTACGATTCGCGAATTATTTTCAATTTGCTCTTTCAGTTTTGATTGGAGCCCTTTCTTGAAACATCACGCTCCGTTATCTCGAGCGTCTAAGTGCCGAATTATTTTATTAAAATACATCTCACTGCCGTTATAGCCGAGTGTTCAGCGAGCCATTATGTAAACACTCGGGCGTAAAAAGATCGTAGGGGCGAAAAATTTTCACGAAAAAACTGACGTCTCCGGCAAAGCCACGGCCACCGCGCAGCCGCTTCAAGTGAAACGAGGATCCAGCAACCCGCGAGTCGTTTCCTTTTTCTCCTTCCGTCCGTTTCAGCCGAACCCAGGGGCTAACCGTTGTTGCGCCTCGTTACCCATCCTACGTCCGACCTTGACTCCGACGTGAAAACTGGATTTCGTGCCGTATACACCGTCTCCTCAACCTCACGGCTTCTTTTTTTCTTTTCTTTTTTTTTTATTCTCTGGGTGTGGATTAAAGGCTGGCGGAGGATCTTCGCGCACATTTTGCCGCGACTGTCCGTCTTTCCTTTTTGCGCCTTTTTCTCCGTCCTCCGCCAACCGTCTACTTTATTCAACAGCCGTTTCGTTCTCACCGGCAAGTCACTGCCGCAAGCCATTCCAATTTCCTTTCTATACGGTACGCATATTCATTTATAGTTTTTCTTGCTTATTATCGTACAAATACGTACAAGAAACGGTCGCCACGGTTATCTTACTAGTCGAAGTGTATAACAAGATATATGATAAATGAACGTACGTAGCTAATGACAGTGGCAGACATCTCGAGAATCTCGAGATCGACCATAAATCAGTCACAATCATAAATCAGTCTCGAGCGTGTTTTTCTAATACTTTAAAATTTATCGTGAAAAATATATACATGCAAGTAAATAACGAAAAAATGAGATATGTTTCCACGGAAATATAAGCGTGGAAGTATAATCATCTATGTAATCCACAATTTGCGCCCGCCTTGATTCTATGTCGTAAATTTATAAATTAAATCTCTTTAATATAAAAAAGCATGGAACATTGAACGAATCTTACCTGCACATCCTTGGTGAATTGATTGTTGCAGTAGATGTGAACAGCCGAGAATTCTCTAACGTGGTCGAATTCGAATTTGACTTCGAGCGGCTGCGCGGACCTTGTATCGTTCTTCCAGCCGACCCATCCCTGACTTCTGTCATAGGTATCATAGTACCTTATCTTAAAGTCGTCCGGTCCGATTTTGCCATCCGTCAGTTGTCCCAAGCCGCGGAGAAGCTGTCCGTCCCAATAACCATCGTAAGTCGCGTCGAAGAATTCCCAGTTGTTACGCTTGTCACCTTGAGGCATCGAGTACGAGACGATGCCGTCGTTCCAAGGACATCCGTACAATTCAACGCGCATGCAAACAGTGCGACGATGATAACTGTAGGGTAGGAAACGAATTTTGCTCGCCCATATCGGTGGCTCCAGTTCCTTCTTCGATTCCAGATAGGTATTTCTGTTCCCTTCGATAACCTAAACAAACAAGATATCGGGAATTGGTTTTTAGTATCATTGAATCTCTAATATTCTCCACAAAAAAAATTCGTATCTTATTTCAATTCTCTTTTTGACATATGTTAAATATCAGAGAGCAAATACCGAGAGATGCATAAAAATGCCTTCGTACCGTTAGACGCGCAAATTATTCCAACTTGTATGCAAACGATATATATAGATGTGTATAGCGATGTATGTATATAACGATATATATAGATATGTATATCAGATAGTGATTGGTAGAGCGGGATATAATACGATGTGTTCAAATGATAGCATTCATGCTACGCGTCATGTTAAGTTATCAGTGAATAGATAGATAGACGCGGGGTTTCTCCGATGCCTGAGATGAATCAGCGTCCATGTAGCATCTTGACCCTTGCCTCATTTACGGACATTCAGACGGCGAGATAGCGAGATTTTTCGCAAGCCCGTAATATAAATTGCGCCACGACGCACCGTAGTATTTTTGCGCGGTGTGATTTCAGGCTCGGCGCGCTCTCTCACATAGAACAAGGCTCGTTCTATTCGATCGGTCGAGCGCGCGCGAGATGGTCGAAACGTATATATCGCCGGATAGGATCGAGGAATTTCTCGGACGACGTCGAGGGTAGAGGCCCTTTGGAACAAAGGACCTCTTATTTTCCACTTATGATCTCGCCAGCGCCTTCTGACTCGCTCGCGCGAGATTCTCACGTATGGTCGGTTACGTGACCGTGTAACCATCACCGTTGTGATCCCGACAGGTGCAAACACTCCTTTATTTTCTATTTCACCCCTTATACGCTTGTTCCTTCTTTCCTATTATGGTTATGCTCGTCGGCCGTTAAATAATGTTCTATTATATCGGGATATTAATCAATTTAATACGCTCAATCGATTCTGCGTACAATACGCACCATGATCAAATTTAATTATAGACATTCGTCTTGCGGTAAAAAAATACAAGCAAACATTTAATAGATATTGAAACTCTTTGAAGCACCTTCGTGAAATTCAATTATAGACTCGTAAATTAATTATATGCTATATGATCAGTGAAACGAAAAGTGCTTCTAATTTTCTAAACCAATAAACTTGCATTTAATCTAATTGGCGATTAGTAATTATGATTTCTCTATATATTATTTAATATATTATTTGTAGTATATTATTAATAATATAAAATTATTGGCTTTATCGCGCGCGTTTGCCGGTATGTTATCTATTGTGATATCCAGCAATCCGGTTAGTTGCATATTAAGCTTTGCAAGAATATATTTCTATTTCTTCGTGTATTTTTCTTTTTTCTATTTACTAGAAATGAACTTACGATTGTGATGGGAAACACGTTTAAAGATGATTCTCGTGACCGCGCGAACCGGCACGTTCCGCGCCGGGTGGCGCGGTAATTGGGGGCCGGTAGCTGACACCGTTTTATTTGCACCGCGACACGGTACCTGATGTTTAGCACATTGAAACGGACGGTACCAAGGCGTCGGATGGGCAAATACAATGAACCGACACGTGAGAAATTTTCTGCCAGGCGACGGAACCGCATCGTGGGCGTTTCCGGAGGTTGACAGTTAGTATATAGCTTTGCAGAGTGTACGTAACAGCATCCTGTTTCCCCTCGATGATTGTACTTAAAGTAAGAGTTATTTCTGTACGTCCGAAAGCGAGCAGAGGAGCTTTCATTGATTTATAGGAGCCTTTAATCCTTGTATCTTAATATATCGCGTTAATAAGACTAAAATTTATTACGAAAATAAAATATATGAAATATTAAATGCTAAGGAAAAAAAGACAAGAGAAAAAAAGATGTAGTTTTAAAATATATGAATACACAGCATATATTGTTGTAGGCTTTCCTTTAGCTCACTATGTACGCGCTAATGTATATTGCAACTTGGTAATATTTTCATAATTTATCTGTTTTTTACTTTACATCCAAAAAGATTTCATCCATTGATATGGAATGTTTCGACTCGGTTGGTGAAAAATACTGGATATTTCGTATCGTCGCTTATATCGCTCATGATTATTTCACGTCCCAAGTTTCGTTCACCCGTGACGCGACCGACCGTGCTATCGAATCTTTTTACGAAGATGACTCACACGAAATACGGTGGTCGGTTTCGCGTGCGGTGCCTGGCGCTCCGGGAAGGTGCGGCGAATCTTAATTCCCGAAAGACCCGCGGCATCGAACGAGGAGACCAAATTACGACGGCATTTACGAGCCGTTGAGACGTACGCCAGGAAAAATAAGTAATCCTGATATTTATCTTCGCGCCCACGCGTCCTGCATACCGGCCCGCATGCGGCGCGGTCTCTGCTTTTATCGCGAAAGACTTTTCTCAAGCACCGCCGCGCCGCGTGTCGAGGCGAGCGATCGTCTCTCAAATTATTCCTCGACCGTTGCCACGGTTTCTCGTCATTCTTTTCGTCGTAGGCGAATTCCAACGGGCGAGTTGAAGTGGTGCGAGGACGGGACCAACGCCCATTTTATGTTAATGTTTCTCGTGTGTGTTGCTCTTGGATCGGCCACGGTAGGCTGCTACCGTCAGTAGCTGAACCGTCTTAGAGGCGGCGTTGATGGTTACGTGTCGTCGCGGAAGGTCGTGAAGGATAAGACATCTTATGGCTTAATTTAAGAAGAAACACCCAATGGGCGGTACAACATGATTATATGAATTTATGTATGATAAATATTACTGTCATTTGTGTGCTTGCGCTGATATTATATAGTGATATTTATTAATTACGGTCAGCTATGGTCAGTGATGTTGCCGAGAATATAAAGACAAAAAACGCACGTCGTTCATTATTTTATCGGGAATATTAAAAAGAATTATTTTATTTTATGGCATCAATTTTAATAATCGTTGCATTTCGAAATCACTGACCATAAAATATGGGCGACGACAGGACCACATGGTTTCTACCGACATCGCCCATATCGGATCGGATTGTTAAGAAAGATTATGCATCGGATAAGCCGAGTGTCGTTGTGTAATTAAGCGAGGGACAACGCGGAGCGCACAGCGGGAGGAAGAGACACAAATTTCTGCAGGTTTATCCCTACCGCCGCTATTTTCTGGGTGGCCTCTTCCGTTCTCTAACAGGTACATCGCGCTACAGGCGAATTATACGAGATATGCAAATATCGCGAAATAAATCATATTTCTCAAGTGTTTTATTTTTTTGCGAGACTATTATTTGATTTGTGCTATGCGCAAATCAATAAAAATAATTGTCATGCATAGTTCTTGACATTAAATTTCAGATTTTTTTCTTTACAAAAATGTAGAAGAAACGGTAAATGTTCAGATTAACTTACACCTCACGGATCATTTTCATTTTTACATATATTATAGAGGGCACATTTCTAAGTAACACGCACTTTGGATTTTGTGGCGCTCTCTTCTGGTTTCAGAGATATGCGATTTTGAAGTATCATAATTTTCGTATTTATTTCTATGATCTTTTCACTATATCTTACTTGCGTGTTTATGTTTTTTTGTTTACATTTGCGTCACTGTCAGAATATTTTCGCTAAGAATTTCTTTTGTTTACATTTAGAGTTGTTTTTATGTTATTGCTAGTACGCTTCAGAATCGTACACTTGTTCAGTTCCGCTAGAAATTTCGAAAGAAATACAGCAATGAAGTTTTACGAATTTCTATCCATTACTGCAGATCAAAATATTGCTTCTCCACGTAAAGTGATGTTCAATGCAAACCTATGTGTCTAGTTTTTCGATAGTGGAGCCCCCCCCCGCATATACTTTTTAATGCGAAGTAAGATTTCACAGGGGTTTACAACTTTCTACCTTATATTTACACTTTAAAAAGTATATGCGTGGAGACAGTATGTTCCTCCCCCCCCCACCCTACGGGGGGCTCCACTATTAAAAAACTAAACACATAGGTTTGCGTTGAACTTCGCTTCGCGTGGAAAATGGAAAAATTCAAGGAGCTTTTCGTTCCTGAAATATAAACAAACACTTTTTCCACATCTGATTTACACAAATACAACAAAAACAAACTTTATTTTTTCTTATTTTATAACAGAAAAAGCATTAAAACTGTGAAACTTTAAAATTGCATATCTCTGGAACCAGAAGAGAGCGCCACAAAATTCAAATTCGTGAGGTGTAAGTTAATCTGAACATTTACCGAAAAGTGAGAATTATACCAATGTTTCATTCAGTTTTTTTATGATTTAAATTTTACGGTACCAGTGTTAGGTATAAAGATTGACATGACATGAGAAAAATTTAAGAGAATTGTATAATCATTTTAATATCTGATGTCTTAAAATATATTTGCTGGTTCATTTCGAAGAATATATAAATGAAAATATTAGAAGAGTATGTAGTCTTTGCGCGTGCCAGAGAAATAATATACGTAAAAGCAAATGGCTTTGCAGCTGCATGCAAATGCGGAGATCCTTCCTTTCGAGTTTGGCCTTTATAGAATACGTACCGAAGGATTCGCGTATTCAGACAGGTACGTCTATGTAGGTGAGCTGGAATCGTCTAACCCGCGTGCACGCTACGACCTTCCCTTCCCTCATTTTATTGATCCACCCTGCTATACAAATAAGCTCGTAGCACCACCCTGCCCGCTAACTCCCAAAGAAAGTTACCCTGACGCGATCGGACGCTCGCCTCTCTTTCCTTTCGTCGTTTCGGAAATCGATGACATTCCTCGGCGCGAGTCTGTCCGCCCGAGGTGTATTTTCGAGAGGCGAAGTGCGAGCAGGCATGCGTTAAATAAGTAACGTGTACCGGGCGCTGACATGAGTGATTTTACGAGATGCACGCGGACGTTTCCTTAATTTCGCGTCGGTTAGTCCAGCGAAGATTCACGGACCGCACGTCAAATTTCACCACTTTCGCCGAAATTCGCCGGAACTTGCGACTGCGCGGAGTTTATTTTCGCCGAGCGAGTAAATCGCCGGCAACGTGTGATTATTGCGGGTCGACGTTAATTAAAGACTTGGGTTCACGGTTACCAGTATATCTGTATATAAATTACATTATGTACCCGGACTTTCCAGCGCAACATATTACATTGAAGATTTACGTCTTGTTAACGTCATCCTTTAGTTACTGTCCGCGGTTACCGCTGCAAATCATTCTCAATAATCCGCGCGCGCTCGGCTTTATGCGTATTGCCCGCGACTAAATTTAACCGCGGGACTTTGTCTGTACGTACGTAACTCTTTCTCGTGGCTTGGATTGCCGTATCGAATCAAATCGTTCGGCGAAATGTCTTTCTACAAGGTTTGCACGATTAAATCGATCGTGGCAAATGGCGCGACTGTATATATCCGGGACAGCAGATTATGTATAATAAATTTCGCAATCTCAGACTACGCGCTTGACAAATCTTTCTATACCTTCCAATTTGCTACTTCACAATCTATAAATACATACATTGATTAAGCCATTCTATGTCACACTATTTCGGGATACTCCTGACCTCGATTATTCTAGATTGCTATTGTTTTCAATGATCGACCCTGATAACAGGCCTTAAATCTTTTATTTGACACGCTAATCGATTATTATTCGCACAAAGAAAAATTGAAGTATTAGACTCACCTCTTCGCCACGAAAGTCCCTGTAGCGGACCCACTTTCCCAGCTTCGGTCTCCAGTATTCCAGCAGGTACGCTTCTGAAAACTCGACGCCCTGGCCATTGCCGAAGCGGCCCTGAGTGCCAGTCGCTGTGATCATGTGCACCGTGTGAAGATCGATTTCGAGCCACTCGCGCGGCTCCGCCGTGATCTGCTGCTTCGGACACCAGGCACCTCCGTGGCTCTCCTGCTTGAGCCTGGAAGAATAAATATTTGCTTTGGGATTACGGATCTTTATTTTCTCTTTCCCGCTTTCTTATCGCGCTACGATCGTCGAGGGGAAAGAGAGCTCCTCTGGGGGAATCCCTCGTGAAAAGGAAAATAGTCGCCAAACGCGCGCGACTCTGAACTTTCCCGTCTCGCGGATGCTTTTACGGATTCATACATTTTTATCTGCATGTAAATTCGAGAGGTTTACCGTATTTCGTTTCGCGATCTTCTTCGTTTATAGTTTTGTATCAAAGCCTGTAAAGGAAAATGGCATTTTAGAATTATGTAAACATTACTGAATATGAAATGAACGGAGAATGTAGTGCGACTTTGTAATGTTAAAGTTTTCCTTTCAACATTCAGTATTTGCAATGCGTGAGGGGTTCGCGCCTGCATCCGTTAATAAGAAAATCGTTATCGCGGTCATAGCAAAACAGAAGAGCGAAGCGAGCGGAAACACCGACATCGTTGCTCGGAGGAAATCGTACAAATACGTGATCGGCCGCGTGTCTGACGGATAACCGTCAGCTCGCCAACGCGCGATACGGGGTGAAATTATAATTTATCGATCGAACCGAGTCCCCGGATGACATGAATTAAAGATGAGGTGGCACCGTCGCGGGAACAGCGACGAAGCCACTTAGAGCCGACTAATAATTGTATTCGCAGATACCTTTCGCGGACTCGTCTGTGGCATTAAAAAGCTCTCCTTCTGTCTGCGCGATACGACCGTGAAATACGCACGTGTTACCATGGTATGCCATGGACGATTCCACGACTCGTAAATTAAGCCGACGAGAACGAATCTGTTTCGAATTCTTTTAGTCGACGTAAATTACTAAGCCGGCTATTCTCGTTACGATAATCCATAAAGTTGTATTATCTCTTAAGGATTTATTAATAAGATTAAATATTTATATACCGAGTAAGAGGGATGCAACGTGAATTTTTTCATCGCGTTTATTAACCGTGAAAAGTTTATGAAAGCATTTCCTCGAGAATTCCAAACGGGATCCCCCACGAATCTTACACGAAGATATCTCGCGTGCGAAAAACAGGACGAAAATTGTTCGCCGAAGAAAAATTTAAGGAAAGAAAGGAAAAAAAGAGGGGCAAGACCGAAGAAGCGGGTGGCGGAGCCAAATGAATCCGCGGCGGAACTCTTGTATGCGCGTCGAGCAAAAATGTTCTCGCGCAATAAAGAGGTGAGCTACCGCCTTCTGAAGTGTCAGAACTTTAAGTGTTGCTTTGACGTTGAAGGCAATAAAAGCGGTCGACCAGGGCTCGCTGTGTGTCTTTAAGGGCACCTTCCGACGTGGTTTGGCAATGCAAAAGAGAAAGAGAGAGGATATTTTGCAGTAGCGTGAGAAAACAGGAAGAGAGAAAGAGCGGAAGAATGAGAGAGAGAGAGAGAGAGAGAGAGAGAGAGAGAGAGATAAGGAGAAGAGAAACGCATATAGAGCGAGTAAAAGAAAACGCGAGACGCACGAATGGAAGCGGCACGGATGTGGGAAGGAGCGCGAGCGAGAAAGAGAGAAAGTAATAATATTCTACCACCGCGAGAGATCATAACTCATAGCCCATTAAGAGACCTCGAACTGCCCGGCTGCCACTTTGATGAGAAAGAGCGGAAGAAAGAGAGAGAGAGAGAGATAAGGAGAAGCGAAACGCATATAGAGCGAGTAAAAGAAAACGCGAGACGCACGAATGGAAGCGGCACGGATGTGGGAAGGAGCGCGAGCGAGAAAGAGAGAAAGTAATAATATTCTACCACCGCGAGAGATCATAACTCATAGCCCATTAAGAGACCTCGAACTGCCCGGCTGCCACTTTGATACAGTTCGGGGCATCAAAGACATTCCGCGTGCACGGTACTCTTGGTCCGCGATAAATCTCTGAACGGGCGATTACGCCGACTTGGACTCCGAGCTGCCACGTCGGCGGAATCGGAGCGCGTCCTTAGACGGAGGGGACGATTATCGAGAGGAATGGTTTGTCGGACGAGAAGGATGCGCGTCGCTTCGAGATCGGACTTGGGAACTGTCTGAAGAGAAATGATTCGTTGCTAAGGTGAATAGGATAATAGTCTCTAACAGTGCGTTATTGAACGATCGAGAAAATTTCTTCAAGAGGATATTTTTCCACTTTTATACATATATGTATATATATATCGTGCGTTTTATTGTAATTATGACAATTACAGCACGTTATACAAATGAGTGACATGTAAGAGTACGCGAATAAATGAAGAAAATAATTTAATTTTTTAAAGAAATTCGTGTTAGCTATAAATTAAAAAAAAAAAAGAGAATTATTAGAATTATAGGATTTTGCATTTAAGTCTTATAAAAAAGACTGCTTTTCCGATTACAATATATTCGTGCGATACATGCATAAAAGTATTTTAGGGTAAGCGGATAGGTAAATAGGGGTATTCGTCGGGAAGCCCGCAATATCACGAAGCCATAAAAATACCGTGAAAGAAGTTCTAGTCGACAATGCGGTCTGGAGGAACGATATCGACGCTATTGCAGCGAAGGGGTACTCGCATGACGCCATCGATTATTATTACTGACCAACGCATCTCTATTTTATCTATTAACTGATGATTATCCCGTGCCTCATGAATACATTCGCGATTAATTTAACGCATTAATATATTTCGTATTCGCGCTTCGATGATTGATTAATAGTGACGAGTTGATTACACTCCGCGGAATATTGAAAATTCACGCACGGCTCGGTTAATGCGGCAGAATTTCAATTACGGGCGAAAGGGCACCGGTGGAGTTAATGTCTTGCGCGAGTGCGAGTTTATTAGCGCGGTAGGTGGTCCCGATGATTCTCCTTGTGTTTGGACATCCGTTCCTCGTCGTGCTGTTCCCCGTTCGTCCGCCGCGTTGCGCGTTTGTCCCGCCGGAATGGTAATTAGCTGACACGCATAATCAAAGGAGTATGCGACGGGCACGTTAACGACGTCTAAGAGCTTTGGAACGGCCGATACAAATGGCTCCGGCATGCGGGACGATGCGCGTCATTAATCCTCATTGCGGTTTGAAGGCCGAATTAGAGCCGAGTTGCAGTTTAGTAGGGCGTGATTAATATACGTTGTGACCGGTCGATCATCGACTATCTCGAGGACAGACAGGATGACGGACGTGTCGTCCGTGCGGCTCGTCGAATCGTTCGATTTACGGATGATCCATCGCGTTCCATGAAGACGACGACTCCCAGCTTCCGCTGGATCGCGCCTTAAATAGCTACGTCGAGAGCCAGTTAGAGTTCGAGTAGATAGATCGAGAACTTTTCACGGGTAAACCTTTAGTTAACGGACAGCACACTCGACATGTATAGCATAAATGAATGGTCAAGTTGATTCGAATATCGTCGAATATGCCCTACACG